ATGTTTCTCAAACATTTAAAAAATAGGAAAATAGTAGATACAAAACATGAATTTCATCATTCCCAGAGGAGCTAACTTCATCTCTATTTTTCTGTACTTTTAGGGCAACACATTACTCATTGTAGGATCTTTACTTTTTTTAAGCAAAAGTCATGATAAGGCTTCTACTGTCCTTTAGGAGACATGTTTGATTATATGATGCTTTTTTCTCTCTGCTCTATAAACATGGGATTTAGAAATTTGTGATTGAAAACACAATAAATGTCCCATACAAGGCGGCATCTGGTACTCAGCCTCTCAGAGACCACCTGTAGAGAGGTGGGGATGGAATGAAATCTTGCATTCAAGCCAGGAGTAGTCACATCACTACACCTATCACCTTGGACTATAGTCACCTCATCTGAATACAGGGGATTGGCTCTACAACTTTCAGTCTCTTCCAACTCCATTAACTCTATGACTGCATCTGAATGATGAAGTCCGTTCTTGCTGCTAGAGACAGTAGGTCATTGCTCTGTCTTTTCCTGCTTCTGAAGGACTCCAGCTTTGTGAATGCCATAGAGGAAGTACATGGTTTTCATAAATATCCTCAAGGAAGCCTTATTTTTCAATAATAGCTATGAGCCTATAATCAGCCCCTGTAATCTCATTAAAAATGCTTCCTTCCCATCCAAGCCCAACACATTCAAGAAGAAAGACAACAAGTGTAGATACCGGGCGATCTCCCTCTGCAGTCGGCCTGCTCTGGTAGAGCGGCCAGCCCTCTAGCCTTCGGGGCTGTTTGATTTGGCCTTTGCTGGTGAGGCTCTGGGAGGTGGGGCAGAGGCTGCCATCTGGACGGAGCCTGGGAGAGTCAATATTGAAAAGCCTGTTTGTTGTTCCTTTTGGCCTCCACCTGTTGGAAACTCTACAATGGGAGCCACTCAGAAAGGAAGAAGGGACAGCAGAGGAATTCCTGTACTGGAACAGTGAATGTTTTCATTGTTCCCCTGGGGATCACCCAAGAGAAACTGGCCTTTAATTATAGTTGAGAGCAGCATGTGGCAAGAAAACACAGTCAGAAATGGTGCCATGAAGCTTAAAGGGGACTCAGGAAGCACATCTCCTGCAAGGGTCTCTGGGCTCTCCAAGCCCACTTGCTAACTCTCCCCTATTGGGTGGCCCCCACTACCCACCCCAAAGGAGGCAGCAACTCACAGCATGAGTGTCTAAATGCCACCCACCCCAATGGGCCACCCAGATGCTCAGCTATTACCTATTTTCCTGTGTCACGGAGAAAACGGGGCCAGTCATCTAGGAAGCCCATCCACTTTCCTCTCTTGCTCGTTCCTCATGCTCACCCATCCGTATCTTCCTCCTCCTGTTTGGAGACTTGGAGGCTTCCTCACACCCTCTTTTGCTCTTCCCGTCCTCTTGCCTTTTCTAGAACCAGAGCCTTAGACCCTATTCACTCCCATCCCTTCTCTCTTCATCAGATTCTTGACCTCAGTCTACAAACATCTTCATGGCTCCTCTGTGCTTCTCTTCATCCTTTAGCTCCCACACTATTGCCTTCCTTCTCCAGTCAGTCTCCTTGAGAGAGGCCCCTCCTTACTCCTCCATTCCTTCACTTCCCATTCACCCCTGAACCATTGTGTGGAGGCTTCTGCATTATTCCAAGACAAAAATGAAACACAACAAAATTCCCTGTTCTTCGGCCGGTGAGCTTTGAGTTGCATATTCCAGGCTTCGTCATATGCATTTACCCTTCATACTCAACTATGATAAATTAGATGCCCATTACATGTCAGGCATATAGGCCAGAAGAATACAAAAAAAAAAAAAATCCCTAATAAAGCCCATGTCCTTTGGATGAAGAGCCCATTAGGTTGACTTTATTTATCTTTTCCTGAAGTCAGCTGGGTCTGAGCAGGTACAGGGAATCAAAGGCTAGGAGTCTGGGGTGACATGTGAGGTGTGGGGAGGGGGCATGAGGAAGGCTTAGGGCTCTAATGACACAGATTTCCTGGTATTGCCAAGACCCTGCCAGGTCTTGGGGCTTGCAGCAGCTATTTGGGGCTACAGGCCTTGGTGCCTAACCAAGGCCATTGTCCCAGCACTGTGGCAAGCAGCTGGTGGCAGGGTAGGCTAACATAGCCGGGGAAGGTGGCCCAAGTGAGCTGAATCCTGGCCATGTTCCTGTCCTGTACTCCCCAGCTACCTGCCTCTATCACAGTAATCATCAATTCCCTGGCTGACTCCCCGGAAACCCGAGAGCTCTAGGGAAGACCTAGGTCCAGAACAAGCTGTACAACTTTCAGGGTCCAGTGCAAACTAAAAATGCAGCCCCCTCAGTTCAAAATTATTAAGAATTCAAGGAGGTGACAGCAGAGCATTACATCAGGCAGGAGGCTCTTCTAGTGCCTAACTGTATGGGTCAATGCCCGGGAAGCCGGTCCTGCCTAGCTTTTTATCCATCAACTTATGGTTGCTCAATAAGCACTCTCTAAATGAATGAGTTCGGGCTTCTCTAGCAACTCTGGAGAGGAGTCACTGGCATCCTAGGGAACGAGGAAGTGAAGATCCTCATCCTTCCTGAGCTTCAGGCCGCCACCTAGCCTGGGGCCACCAGTGAGTGCCTGCCCTGCCCCAGTGTCCTGTGTCCATACATGAGGAGAATCATTCTTGTCCGCCTCCTCTTCTCCACTGTGGGCTGAGAGTGAGAGAGGTGGAAGCCGGCCTTTTGGCATGTACATGCAGCGATCCTGTGATTCTGGGAAAGGAAGTGCAAATCAAAGGCGTCACCATAAAACCCAAAAGATATGGTTGGTGTTTGTAGTGTGCAATGTCTAGGTGTTCAGAGAGCTTAAAGCAGCGATTTCCAATTGATGTGCCATAAGAATTTTTAAAACATGCCACTGACCTCTTTTCCCTTAGATTGTCAGATAAAAGAATGGCAACAGCTAACACAATAGTCATGGGTGTGAATGAATCAAAATTATAGCTATTTTTTTTTTGTCAGGTCGGCAAAAAATATATTTTTGGTGTGCTGCAGAACGTTAGTGATTAGCTTATGTGTGCCAGGAGACGGAAACGGTTGAGAATCACGTGCCTAAAGGATCTATGAGTTAGGTGTAGTGAGACCCAGAGCAGCGGAGTGTGTCCGGCCCACGACGGGATCCCACAGGAAGCAGGGTCCTGTCAGAGACAAGGTGCATGGAATTCGATGAGGAAAGCACCCGCTTAGATGGGGCTCAGCCTTTCCAACCCTCTTTACCTCACCTGCCAAATAATACAATTAATAATAACAAAAGTATCCAAGAACAGCAAACACACTTAGAATATTAGTGTACCAGCTACTGTTCTAAACCCTTTAAAGATACACACTCACTTTGATCCTTAGAGCAACCCTGTGATGCAGGGACTGTGACCATCCACATGCTGCTTAGGAAGAAAAGTTCAGTTACTTGGCAAGGTCATTACTGACAGCTTGGAGCACCAAGGTTCAAATCCAGGTCTTTGGCTCCCAAAGTGAGTACTTAACCACAAATATCTTAAACCCTCATGGAACTGTGAGGGGCAAACTAGCACCAACATGTGGAATTGCTTTAGAAGAGAAAGGCAATCTAAACCTGGCAGATAACAGTATTAATAATATTTAACAACAACAGATGGTAGAAGCTTTGGATGCCATTGATCTCCCCAGCCTCCGTTTTTTCCTCTGTAAAATGGGAGTGGGTAGGTTTTGCAACAGATCCTCTCTAAGATCTTTTCCATTTCTCAGGTTCTGATATGAAAAGTGTTCCTTTCCTGATGCAGCATGAGAGAAAGGGAAGCATCCACTGCAGCCTGTTTTGCTCCCTAGAAAGCCCAGCCCTCAAACTTGTGTGCTTGAGCAACACCAAGGCAATCCACCCTGACCTTGGGGCCTACACAGGCAAACATACCCCAGAACTGGAACGGAAAGACCAATGCATAGGGCCGGGCACAGGTGGAAGGCTGGGGAGGTGGCCTGACATCCTCCTGAAACTCAGTGGGAAGGGGGTCTGGTGCATCCCTCCTCCGGGGGGGGGGGGGGGGGGTTGGGGGGAAGTAGTGGGCTTCAAGGAGAGGAAAGGACACCACAAAGATTTATGACAGCTGCTTAGTGTTTATTTCTGTCCCTCCAGGAATAGGGCTAAGTGTGGAGGGTTGGGGATAGGAAGAGGGAGAGGAAGGCGGTCTAATATATTCACCAGCATGAGATTGACGGGCTCACCCAGAAGGGGCTGGGCTCCTCTATGGGGGCCAGTGTCTGGGGACATTTCAGTGGGGCCTGGAAGGATGAGTACTATTTCAACAGGCGGTGAAGAAAGGGGCAGGGCATCCCAGGCAAAGCAAGAACTCCCAGCAGCTGGAGTTTGGGAGCAGCCTGTGTTCCCAGAGCAGGGGTGCGTGTGTTTGGGGGACTCGGGTGAGGCTGAAGAGTTAGTTTGTGGCCAGAGAGTGGGCATGGAGGGCCTTGTGCACCAGGCTGAGGGCTATCCTTCAGCCTGACCGCCTTGGGAGGCCTTTGAAAACTTGTTTAAAGCTTTATTAAACATATGTAGTGGATGCTTTTCTTTATACAAGCATTCATGCCAACAGAAGAACATACAGAAGAGACAGAAAAGTATATGGACCAGATCCCCAAAGTTAACAGCTGGAGTGGACCTGGCTGCTGCAGGTTTTCAGGGAAGCATACCCATACTTCTCTCCAGGGTCCCTGGAGGTTCCAGAAGAGTCTCTTTCTTTAAAGAAATGCGGGGCTCTGCAACCTGTTACCATTCTGGAATCAGGGCAAAGGGCCTAGGGGGACTCAGGAACAGAGGGGCCCAGGCAGCCCCACCAGTCCCGCAGGCTAAGTCAGCCGCAGCCCCGCCCCCGCCATCCAGGCTCCCTGGCTCTCTGAGGTCTCCTCCTGTGGGCCGGGACCCCAACGCGCCGCGTGCAGATCTGGAGGGCGCCCAGGGGGTGGCGGCCGGCAGCGCGGGCTCCCTGGCGCCGCCTCCAGTTCTGCGCGGCAGGGGACTAGTCCAGCCCGCGCGGTTCTGGGCGGAGAGAGTCAGGGGGAGCAGCCCGCGGAGCAGGAGGCTACCTGACAGCTGTGAGCCCAGCGGTGGCGTCAGCAGCTAGGAGGGAAGCGGCGACTCCGGAGGTACGAGGTACGTGTTGACGGTCACCAGGTGGGCGTTTCCCAGCCCCTCTGCTGGTGCAGCCCGGGAGGAAGGTGCTTCCTCCCCGAGGGCTCCGCAACAGCCAAGTGAGCATGTGTGTGCAGCACATGGGTTCCGGGGAGGGCTGGCTCAGAGGGAACAGCTGAGTGCCCGACCCCTGTTCCCAGGCCTAACCCTGAGGGGACTGGAGGAGGGCCGGGGAGCAGTGGGGCTGAGATCAGAGAGGGACCTCAGGGGTCCTTTTGGCACATCCAGCCTCTTCATTTTACAGAGTGAAGTGACTGGCCCAGGGTCTCAGTTCCAGAAACCTGAAGTCCTCACTTGCAGGGCAGCGCTGCTAGGAGCTCCTGCCGCCTGGCTCAGGACAGCTGCACAGCTGTTGCCAGGTGTAGAAACAAAGAACTGGGAGAGACAAAGTCAGAAAGTCAGAAAGAGACAGAAAGAGAGCCTCCCAGCACAAAGGAAGAAGGTCAGGAAATGGACTGCTTCTGGGGCTGTACTTCCTCCCCGGTCCGTTGTGCTGTGGTCTGGCGTGTGACTCAGCCGGCTTGCTGACTCTGGCCCAGGTGTGTGTGTGTGTGTGTGCATGCATGCACGGGGATGCGGCGAATCTACCTGAGCATGTGGAAACCCTCTAAAACTGTGTATATCTGTCCACTTACTCACAATGAACTTGTTGGGAACCAGCCCTGTGTTTGGCTCTGAGGAAGATACCAGGAATCCCAAACGAATTAGCTTTGCGTTACTCCAGAGGGCAGAAAGGGCCCATGGGGGAGTCCCTAGGGTAGATCAGAGTTCAAGAGGAAGAACCTGACTCATGAGGTAGCAGGTTCCCTGTCTCTGGAAAAATCCAGCCCATACCAGAGAATTTTCTTATCAAGGAAATGGGCACAGGGATATGAAAGGAGGACAGCTTACTCCACATAGAAGCAGGATTTTAGTTTGAGGGTCCAGGGCTCATGCCCCTTTTTAGGTAACATCACCAAGCATGACCTCATTGGGTGGTGCTTCCTGTAAGAGCTACTCTCTGCATATTTTTGAGTGACAACTGGGAGGCTTCACAGGCGACCTCTGAGGCCCCATCACCGCTCAGTACTCTACTATAAGAGTGATGAATGCCATGAGTCTAGGGGCCTTTGGAGGAGGCAGGGCACTTCTGGAAGGAGTGGATAAGGATGGCATTTTGGAGGTGGCTGTGCCTTGAGGAGGAGGTTGGGTCTGGGCACTTCTGGGGCAGGGACACCTGAGCAGAGTCATGGAGGTGGGGGGGGGGGGGTGGTGTCTGGAGACAAGGGAAGATGTGGTGGAGATGTGGTGAGGAATGTTGGTTGGAGCTTTTGGAATTGTGATGAGGAATAGTGGAAGGCCTGGAGCATTAGGCTCTGGAACTTGAACTTCATTCCTAGGCCTGGGGGCTTTCGATGGGAAGGGGAATGGGTTATTGGGGTGGGTTCAGAAGAACTTGGCTCTTGGCGGCAATATTTGGGAAGCACTAACAGTGAAGGAAGTGGTGGGAGGAGAACTGGGAAGGAGAAGATTGCAGTGACCATGTGCGGCTGAATAGAGCTGTTGGGAATGGAGAGGATGGGGCTTGACCAGAGACATTGCTAAAAGGGATGTGTATGTGTCACGGAGAAAAAGTCCAGGGCCTGTGGTAGGGCATTATCACACATGATCTTACCCAACCCTCCCAACAACCTTGTGAGATTATTATGTGTAGGAATTTTGTAGAGGAGGAGATGGAGAGTCAGAGTTTAAACAGCTTGTCCAAGGCCACACAGCAAATAAGTGGTGGGGCAGGGACTTGAACCCAGAGACAGATGGAATAGATCCAATCTGGTAGCCGAGTAAGTAAATGTCAGAGGCTGAGCAGAGGAGGAGACCTCGATGATGGAGATTGGGGTTCCAGTGCTAGGCAGGGAACCCCAGAAGTGGGTGTGAATGACCCATATCCCGCATGGTTCAGGGTTCGGGCTCTGGAAGAGGGGGCTCACACAAATGACAGAGACGAGACAAGAAATAATAATTTGGAAATTGGGAGGCCAGGCAGGAGCCCATCCCAAGAGGAAGGACTCCACTTATGCTCAGGCCTTGCTATCCTTTTATTCAGTTTGGGATACACCTATAGCCCTTAGGCAGGCAATTTCCAGTAACAGACAGACTATCTTATCAGTAAGGATTTACATGACTATCTGGTGGGGAAGTTACTTCAGCTACCATTGTCTGGACTAAACAGTGGGTGCATAGCCCTGACCTTTGCCAGGGCTTCGAGGGTCACCAGCATTCCCGGCTCCTTGTCCACACCTCTCTGCTAGAGAAGACAATAGGCAGCTTCCCACAGGGGGGTCAGGTTTGGTGGGTGATTGCAGGGTGGGAGCCTGTGATGGCAGCATGCCCGGGGATGGGGGCTGCAGTGTCCATCTGTTCTGCACCTCCTGACCTGAGGCTCCTTGTGGTGAATTTCCTGAGTGTGCTCTCAGAACCTATAGGCTGCTGGGATGCTGGAGGTGCTGGGAGAAGTTGTGCTGAGGGAGGTGGTGGGGGATCCCCTGGGATTTGGCAAGTCAGTCACTGAATTCACATCACTCCCTTGCTTTTCTCCCACCCAGAACAATTGTGTGTTCTGACTCAGTGCACAGGGGACTTGGGCATTTGCCAGGCCTCATTGGGCTAGAATTAGTTCAGGTTATCATGTTGCCCAATTCTTGGTTCCCTCCTATGTTTGACCTCTAACAACGGTTATACAGGTCCTAAAGATGTGGTTGCAGACTATTGTGGAATTCCAAAAGTGCAGCTTCGGGAGCCACATGTCCTAGTACCTGGTGATCTAGGGACAAGCCTGCCCTATATTTCAGGTGGGGAAACTGAGGTGTCAGAAAATCATGTTCCTTTGCCAATGGCAGAGTGAGTGGCAGAGAGGAGACCAGACCCTTGGGCTCCTGACTCTCAGGCTTTGCTCTCACCACTGCCATGTGGGGAAGCAGCTGCTTGGAGAGCAGCTTCCAGAGTCCCCCATAAAATAGCCCTTGGGGCGATTTTTAAAAATAGGCTTCAGCATTTGATGGACCATTTCAAGCTGTTATTCTCTTTTTCTCCCTTAAAAACACAAAGTCACAAAATGCCACATTATTTCCACTCATCCATCTAGGGGTCAAGTAAGTTCTTTGACATCTCAAATTGTTTTTTTTCTCTAAGAGAACTTTGGTAAGGCACGGTATAGTTAGAGAGCTGCCGGGAGCCGGTCCATGCTTGCTGTTTCAAGGGACCTGGCGTATATGGCATACTGTTCTTAATATGTTTGCTCACCTTCTTGGCACTGTGTTTTAACCAAGGTCTCCTCTCTGAGAAAGGTTGTTTCCCCAGGTAGGGATTTTCCCCTGAAGTTAGGGAGGGAATAAAACCTCTTAACTAAGTGCCAGGCGGGTAATTAATCACTTTAACTACGAACAATCATGCTTAAGCTACATAATCTTTACTCCCTGGAATGAAGATAAGAAACACCCTAACCTTTGTAATAGAGATTGATAGGATTGAATCAACTGGTATAAATACAGATGCAACAAGACAGCAAGACTCAGAACTTAGAATACAGAACTCAGAACACAGAATGAAGAAGACAGAACTCAGAAGAAGGAACCTACACAGACAGAAGAACTTCTCCGGAGAGAACATGGCAAAAGATCCTGCACCGAACCTGACTACAGAAATTGGCAAGAGAACCTGACTAGAACCTGGTGACTGAACCTGGCTGGAGAACTTGGACAGAACCTGGCTGGAGATCCTAAGCAGAACCTCTCTGGAGATCCAGACCAGAACTTGGCTGGAGATCCTGGCTAGAGATCCTGGCTAGGCTGCTGATCAACTGAACTCCGTCTCCGTGTCATTCCTTCTTCGCCGACTCCATCCACACCTTTGGGGACCCCTGGACCTGCTGGGGTTGGACTCCGGCAGAGAGCCAGAAAGTGTCCCTCACGTGTGCAGGGTCAGTGCACGCAAGGTGCCTGTGCTCACTGCTGGCAGCCTAGGGCACTGACAGGGACGACCAGAGAGGAGAGGATGGCTGTGGGAGAAGAGGAAGGAGGGGGAGCAGCAAAGTGAAGAGAAAAAGGAAAAACTGAGTTGATGGCCCAGATACCTCAGTGGCAAGGGCAGAACTGTCTTGGGGACATACACTTTGGGAACCTGGCTCCCCAATACTCAGAGAGGCAGAAAAAAAGATGAGCTAGTCGGCCTTAGAATTTATTGTGCAACTGTTCACAATAAATTGAGAAAGGAAAGTGTTAATAATGATGCTGGGACAGCAGGCACAAGCCAGGATGTCCTGGGCACACTGGTCATCCTCAGGACAACCAATGTACATTAAATGCCAGACATGAATTTGCTTGTTTAAGCCTCACTACAACCCAACTGAGTAGGCACTGCTATCGTTCCCATTTTACAGAAAAATTAATGGAGAAACAGAGAGGCAAATATCATGCCCACTAACAAATGGAGGAAGCAGGATTTGAACCCAGGCAGTTCGGCTCTGCCAGTGCCCATGCCTTCAGCGTCACCTATGCTGGCCCTCCCCTCAGCTGCCTTCTTTTAGGACTCAGCAGTGAGCTTTTGGGTCTTTGTTTCCCACTGGAAGCTGATCTCAGTGGCCAATTTAGCATGGCTGCGTCTGCATAAAAAATAAGTTTGTGGTTGAGGCCGAGGTGCTGGGGTGGGCTGGGCGAAGTGCTCTGTAGGTTTTATCCTCTACAGACTGCACCTTGTTCAAACCAGCCTTGACCACAGGTCTGCTTCATTCTTTCCTTGTACCCACTCTGCCCTTTCTAAGTCAATGGACCGATGGACTGGGTTGGACATAAGCAGGCCCTCCTGAAGGCCATTGCTGGGATGGGTTCCGGAAGGCCCTCATCTGCCTGGGTGACATGAGGGATCGCTGTCTGATGGACAATTTTGCATGCAGGGCCTCTCCTAGCTTGAGGAATATGGCGTTTTCT